GCTCAGCTTAAGCTGCTATTTTATTCTAATAGTCCGCTGTACGATCCTTCTGTAGTCGAACCATTCGTGCTGCAATCATAATACAGTGGCAGTGTTACTCTACCACGTAAACATTGTCCACGTATAACATTGTAACTGTCGTCTATTTAATGTTGCCTTCGCGTCTGTGATGTCAAGGATATTAATATCCTCAATCAAATCATAATGTTGAAATGCGACGTTTTAAAATTTATGTGATTTTTATAAAATACAAAAAATTTTTATAAGCATTAAAATGATTTCGTAACTTAATTATACATTCTTTTTGACATGATGTATTTATTCACTCTGTATCATCTAGCCGCTAGCAAATGAATTTGTTTGTTTTAACCTGTGTTATCATACTAAGAAAAGTATACAGATAAACCTTACGTGCAACTTGTCCTATAACTGGGGTTTTGAAAGTTTGCGCCGCGGCGCCCCAAAGCACTATGGTCAGTAAGCAAGGAGCGCCACTTCTGAAAGAAACTCTTTTGCGACAACAGTCTTAAAACTGCTTTGCTCCCATTTACTAGAGGTTTAGTCGAAAATTAACTCTAAGCTCAAAAACTTAAAATTACATAATAAGTATATAATCTATACATATAAATAAAATTGAAGTGTCTGTTTATAATATCATAATAACAGCTAGTATATACCGTACTAATAACAAAAAAAAACTATTTTAAAATTTTTGTCAGTCAGTCTGTATGTCTGTCTGTTTATTCCGGCTAATCTCCAAAACGGCTGGACCAATTTTGACGGGACTCACTAGCAGATAGCTGATGTTATAAGGAGTAGCTTAAACTACTTTTATTTTAGAAACAGAATTAGAGATCCAAGCAAAAAAATGAAATCCCATGAAATCCATTTGTAATAAATTCCACGCGGACGATGTCGCGGGGAACAGCTGGTATATAATAAATGTTAAAAATGTTAAACATTAATTAGATAAAAACCGCGTTATAAATTAAAATGATGCACTATCCCCGTCACTACTAATCTCAACACTATTACTCGCAACACTACAACACTAGGAATAACCTACCACAGATACAGTATATACAGATGTAGTAGACTCCGCGATGGCTGACCGCTAATTGATTTCCGCAAAGTAACGCCTGATTCTATTAATTAGCGTTAATAATGCTTAGCGACGTTATATTTAAGCGCAGCCGGATTTTCGACTATAGCTGTAATGAAGAACAAAAATCACTCAAACGTCACCGAGACAAGAAATGAAAGCAGCAGTCACAAGACTAACTTGCTATAGAAAGTTTTCACCTTTTTTGTATAATTCTTTTCTGTAAATCGTATTATATTTTTCTTTGGCGCCATGGCAAAATACTATACCTGTAAATTCGCCGTGAACTGAAAAAGCTTGGGAACCAATGTCCTATACAAAAATGATATACAACTACTTTTTCGTAAGATAATAATATATTAATTATTTTTAAATTCCCGTTGTGGCGGAGGAAAAATATCGGGTTTTAAAAATGTAAGAAAAACCAAGGAGTTATAAATAATAATGTCCTTCAGATCGAATTTCGGTCATGGCGGAGAGTCTTAACAGAGACTAGCCATCTGCCCAGTACAGGATTGTAGTGCCCCGGTGTGTGCGCGTACACAAGTGCACTCTCTATTCCCTCACTCTCATACGCCGATGGGACGGCAATCAAATACGACCGGAGAGACATCAGGCGCAGGACCAACGGCTTTAAGTGCTTTCCGAGGCACTGATAACTCAATAACTCAATAACTGATTTTGGCCCGACTCGGGGTTCAAACCCGGGACCTAATATAACTAGAACACCGAGGAGGTTGGAGTAATAATAATAAAAAATAAAAAATTTTGTACAACCGACTTCAATATAAGTTATTAAGAATAACTCAAAAACTATTGGTCAGACCTTGATTAATGAAAATTGATCATTTATATGGGACCACATGTGAAGCACCAGCTTTCAAATGAAAAAAGAATCATCGAAATCGGTTCACCCAGAAAAAAGTTATGAAGTATCACATATAAAAAAAATATACAGTCGAATTGAGTACCGTTCCCTTTTTAAATCGGTAGAAAATAACGTAATAAACGTCGCGAATTAATAATAGGAAGACGGGACAACAGCAAAATATTTTTTGCTGTTGTCCAAATTTTTATTTTACAATTGCGGGACGCGTCCATGTCCCATGCGACCTGAAGTAGACTGTCTCTGGGGGTACACTACGATACATATGAGCAATATCTATATATTTTTAATTTGTTTGTTTGTAATATCGCTCTCGAAAACGGTGAACGATTATTTTAAAATAAAGTGGTTTACGGAGGCGAATAATCTATCTAGCTAAGTCTAACGTTTCGAATAATCTAAATATAAAATCTAACATAAATATTACAGTATAATGTATTCTGGGAAAAATCGTTTTCTCCATGTTCCATTTCACGCACATAGTAACGAACCGCGCAATATGATTGGTAATTTCGCCGCAAGTATTCACTTTCTCAATAGCCCGATGGTTACAGGGTTGTTTATACTGGAGTGCGCGAGTTCAAATCCTGCAATGTCGCCGGATGTTTTGTTTGCGGAGTTACGTACATTTATAAATCCCTATGCGTAGTTTTTAACCGTGGGGTCACAGCTTTAGTTGAAAAATGATTGATTACAGTACATACTTAGAACTAAAATATTATATACCTCAAATATATAGTTTCTTTTTTATAGAATAAGAGTGAAAAACCGAGCACACTGTCAACGTGATGGTAAGTGGTCGCTGTGGCCCATAGTAATCTACATCTATCCTCGATTACGAATCAAAATGCAGATACGTTGTCACCCTTGAAGGCTTAGGTGGGATGCCTCATTTCCAGTACAAAGGGTCTTATATATTACCTTATTTACGGGTTAATAGTTAGATAATGTTTTACTTTACAATTTTTTAAACAGTAATATATACATATATGTTTTTTCTGAGAAAATTATATTTATTTTCTACCGATTTCAAAAAGAAGGAGATTACTCAATTCGACTGTGTTTTTTTTTTAGTTTCTTTCTTGTTTTTTTTTAAGTATGTTACCTCATAACTTTTTCCTGGGTGAACTGATTTCAATAATTATTTTTTGATTTGAAAGATGGTGCTTCTCAAGTGGTCCTATATGGGATGGAAATTAATATAAATTTGATCAAGGTCTGATCAAAAGTTTTTGAGTTATCTATACATCTATACAAATAAATAAAATTGAAGTGTCTGTTTTTAATGTCGAAATAACAGCTTTTTACTATATGCATATGAAAGTATATAACTATATAAAGTATATAACAAAAACACGATTTTTAAAATTTTTGTCTGTCTGTCTGTCTGTTCCGGCTAATCTCCGAAACGACTGGAGCGATTTTGACCGGACTTTCACTGGCATATACCTGATGTTATAAGAAGTAACTTAGCCAACTTTTATTTTAGAAAAAGAATTAGGGTTTCGCGCAAAAAATTAAAACCCATGAAATCCAATCGTAATAAATTACGCGCGGGCGAAGTCGCGGGGAACAGCTAGTTCTTAATAATTTATATTGAAGTCAGTTGTAAAAAAAAATTATTTTAAATTATTATTATAACAAATAACAATGCTCGGTCGCCGACTACTAAATATTTTATGTATCTGGGCTATGGTATGTCAAACTTATCGGAAGCCGACTTTGATAATTTATATTGAGTAAAATAAGTATAAGAAAGAAATAATTTTTATTTATGTGTATATATAATAGTAATATATAAAGTAATTAATTTATATAGCTGTGGTAGCTCAGGGGCTAAGTGCTCGCTGTAAGCTTCACGGTACGCGAGCAACCTGGGTTCAATCCCCGCCGGCATCAATGAAATTGTGATGTGAAGTCCACCAACACGCATTGGGGCAGCGCGGTGGACATATCCTTGCCCTAAAACCCTCTCAGAACGAAGTGGTGGATGGAATGGAGTCCAAAACTGATAAAATGGAGTGTTGGCTTCTTTATGACTACCAATAGATGGCGGCTTTACTCACAACACTAAGGCCCGTATTAATAAACGTTACTCAACGACGAACTCAAGTGCGTAAGCATTTGATACGCCCTCATTACGATATCAGCATCTCAAGATCGTTGCTAATTAATAAACACAAAAAAACAGTATCTCAAAACGCTGTACTTAGGAATACTGTTCTGTGACGTGCACTCAAGTACACACACTTGAGAGTCGAGTTTCGTTTATTAATCAGTGTGGCACTCAGCTGATATCGTAAACCTAAACCGCACCTTGAGATATATTTATTAATAAGATCATAACCTCAAAATTGTACTCAAGTACGTGTACTTGAGCTGAGTAACGTTTATTAACACGGGCCTAAGAGTCACATTCAGCGATGGACTTTTACAGACTGATGATGAAAAGGAAGAAGAATATGCGTATGCAGCTGTATTATGATTGTAGCACGAATGGGTTGCTCGATCGGGGAAGGACCACGCTCTCACTGAATACCAGCGTAAAATACCTTAATGCTGCTATGTTCCGTATGGTGAGTGTAGAGAATCAGAGTCGGTGAAAACGAAGCATTCCATCTTAGTCCTCAGATGTGAGAACACATATGCATTTTGATTCTTTATCGAGGATTGATGTAGATATCTATGGGCCACAGCATCCACTTACCATCAGGTCGCTTGTTTGTAACCCTTATTCAATAAAAAAGAACATATATTTGGGGAATATAGGATTCCAGTTGTAATTTATATGAAGTAAAACTTACGCCAGAGCTTCTTTCTAGCAGATATTTTGACATATCTCTACGGGTAGCTGCCGGTCTAAGGATATTAGGCGTGACGTAATTAAAATAGTAATCATCGTCCATTGGAAACCATAGAATCTCCTTTGGGGTACCCTCTTACAACAAACATGGGACAAAATGAAGTAATGCGTTCTCTTTATAACATAATTATTTCTTTTCCAGGTCAAAAATGGAGTTAAAATCGCCGAAAGCGAAGAAAAAGTCGCCGAAATTATTATCTTGGGAGAAAATGTTTCGAACACCATTCCTGTTACTGCTCCTTCTTGGTACATCTAACTGTGACAATACTGACACAAGTGATAACAGTGACAGATCGCTTGGTTTTGACACTTCCCTATCGAACAGTTCAGTTTTAAATAACAACCGTTTCAGGCTAAGGCATTATCACATTCAGCCTAATGAAAGTCTAAATGAAAAACAAGTGCTCAGTGATATAAAATACTTAAGGCGTCATTTAAATAGGGAAATCATTAACTTCGTGATGACTGACGTACTCGTGGACGGTGAGGTGGAGAATCGTGTTCACTACAATGGTATTACTGCAAAAGAGACATCTGTTGGTATTGACGGGTAAGTTTTTCATGCTTTATTTACATAATGGAATGTATTTTTAAATCCTTGGATGGTTTTTAATTCAAATCTTTAAGAACTTTTGAGACACAGACACTATTCATCATATTGATCATTACAACCCATAACAAGTCTATTGCTAAACATAACCTTGCCCTAAAGAATGCCACAAAGCACGGCTCAGAGCCACCTGCATCCCTTACTAGATCGTCACTCACGTTGGGTTTTGACAGTTACTCTGGTTTCTGGGATATCCTCATTTAAAAGCTTATCACGCGGAGAAACTCCGAGCATAGGTCTAGCATAGCATAGGCCGACCGTGATGTAAGTTGCCGTTCCTCGAGTGAACCTGCTGGTTCACTGCTTGCTGCATGAGGGGCAACTTTTATTCTTTTTGGTTTAAACTGCTCATAGAGTAGAATTGTAAATGAAATAATGATTTCTTATATTTACGCGAAAACTACACATTTAAATAAAACTAATTTTACGGATTTTATCGCGTATATTAACTTATTTTATATTCCCGACGTTTTGAGCACTTTACAGCACCCATGGGCACGGGGGGGACAGAGGTGTATGACGTCCCAATGTCATAGTTAACCACGGCTACCTCCAGATTAAAAATTATTAATTTTTGTGCCGATCTACATAGTATGAACTTACAGTAACATGAAGTCTTGCAGTTGTATGCTTGGGTTGGGATTTAATTTTATTAATTATAGGATCCCAAACAGATGGTAGCACCCAGCCATCTTCTCTATTGAAATTAGGATGTTTTTTCATTTCAATTGCCTCGCGAATCATCCTTGGAAGGAATCGGTGTTCTTTAGCGAGGATTTGTGGTCTATCAAATCTAATGTAGTGACGGGGGCGATCCTGTACGTGCTCACAGACTGCAGACTTACCGAAGCGTCAATTGTTCACATCAGCTATGTGTTCAGATTGTAAATGAAGTGTCATAGGTTAACAACTTATCAACAACTTCGTTCGTAAATTAAATTGCGTAATATTCTATAAATGATTGTTTTAATTGTCAAATGCAATGAGATATTTTTATTATTCATTATTTTTAACGTATTCTTAGATGTTATGGCAAAATAGCCACTAGGTATCGTCACATCCTTAAGGCACTGTAAAATAAGTTTATATTAAGTTGTTATTTCCTACCTGAACTAGAAAGAAAATAATAGAAAGCAAAACTTGTTAAGCAAGCGTGAGAAGTGAGAAAGCTGGCTCCAACCGATGTCCGAGCTTAAAGGGTAAAAATTCAGCTGTTTTTGGTCTAGTTAAATCACATACGGTAACAGAATTACCGTTTATGTCTTGAATGAAGATCATTGTTATTTTTCTCATGACTTTGTTTCTTTCGATCTTTCCCCGTACGTATAATTAATTTTAAACCATAACTTTATCTATACATCTATAGCTAAATATTAATAAAATTGAAGAATCTGCTCAGATGGATAGCGCTCGAGCAACCCGGGTTCGATCCCCGCCGGCCCCAATGAAATTGTTACTTGCAATTTTAACTGCTGATTTATCACGTCCTCGAAGGTGAAGGAAAACATCGTGAGGAAACCTGCATGTCAGAGAAATAAGAAAATAAATATTTCGAAGACATGTGAAGTCCACCAACACGCATTGGGGCAGCGCGGCGAACATTTCCTTGCCCTAAAAGCCTCTCAGAAATGAGAAGAGACCTGTGTCCAGCAGTGGGACGTATATAGGCTGTAACTTTAACTTTAACTGAACTGAAGGAGCTATTTGTATGGCATTAAAACATAAAAAAACTATTTATAAAAATCGTATGTGACTGTCTGTCTGCCTGTCCGGTCTAATCTTCGGGATTACAGAACCGACTGTAATGAAACTTGACGAAAAGATGGAGAACAATGCAAGAAGTGTTGTAATGTTTTATACGAAGAACTTGTCTTTTTTCTTGAGAAATTGAAAGTCTCTTGAGATAAGCGGTCTTTTTCTACCAACTTCAAAAAGGAGACCTTACTAAATTCGACTGTATTTTTTTTATGTGTTACCTCATAACTTTTTACTGGGTGAACCGATTTCGATGATTCTTTTTAGGGTTCCGTAGCCAAATGGCAAAAAACGGAACCCTTATAGATTCGTCATGTCTGTCTGTCTGTCCGTATATCACAGCCATTTTTTCCGAAACTATAAGAACTATGCTGTTAAAACTTGGTAAGTAGATGTATTCTGTGAACCGCATTAAGATTTTCACACAAAAATAGAAAAAGAACAATAAATTTTGGGGGTTCCCCATACTTAGAACTGAAACTCAAAATTTTTTTTTCATCATACCCATACGTGTGGGGTATGTATGGATAGGTCTTCAAAAATGATATTGAGGTTTCTTATATCATTTTTTTCTAAACTGAATAGTTTGTGCGGGAGACACTTGCAAAGTGGTAAAATATGTGTCCACCCATGTAACTTCTAAAATAAGAGAATGATAAAACTAAAAAATACATATGATGTACATTACCATGTAAACTTCCACCGAAAATTGGTTTGAATGAGATCTAGTAAGTAGTTTTTTTAATACATAATAAATCGTAAATTATGTTACTTGCTGCTACAGAACCCTTCATGGGCGAGTCCGACTCGCACTTTGCCACTTTTTTATTTGAAAGCTAGTGCTTCACACGTGGTCGACTTGATTGAGGTCTGACCAATGGTTTTTGAGTTAATGTTAATAATTTATATTTTTAATTTTTAATTATTTATAGAATAAGTTGGGAAAAACAAAATCAGTCCACCTGCTGGTAAGTAGATGCTGTGGCCCATAGACATGTACATTCTACATCAATTCTCAATTAAGAATCACAATGCAGATATGTTATCACCCTTGAGGACTCGTTCTCTACACTCACCATACGAAACACAGCAGCATTTACGCTAGTTTTTTGTGAGTCTTTAATATAAGTAACGCCACATCAATCAAGTCTTGCTACAAAGTAATGCGATTGACATTAAAATTATCTCTATTTTTTGCAAAAGAGAGCTTTAAGAGGAAGTTATAACCTAAGCCGAGGTAGTCTCAACACATTATAAAAAAAATTAAAGAAATAAATATAACATACAGGGTTATTTTTCATTAATCGGCCAAATTTGCAGAGAATGTCCAGAATAAGTAATATAGGCAAATAGTTAAGAAAAATTAATTTAAAAAATAATGTCTTTTAAATTAAAAATGCGTGGTAATGCATTATTTTAACTGATTTTACTGCGCACGCACACATTCTTAAAGGTCAATCCGTAGGCAAAACCGTTTTTGCCCAAATCACATTCAACTTGGGATAATTTAAAATAAAAGAAGAAACCTTATTTACTCGTATTTTCAAAACTGCAATAACGGTACTCTCTCAGAATACCAGCGTAAAATAGCAGCTTAACACTGCTGTGTTTCGTATGGTGAGTGTAGAGAACTGGAGGCACTTTTTACTTGAAAAGAGGCATTCAACTTAGTCCTCACGGGTGACAGCGCATCTGCATTTTGATTCGCGAACGAGGATAGATGTAGATGTCTATGGGCCACAGCAACCACTTACCATCAGGTGGACTATGTGCTCGTTTGTCACCCAATTCCTATAAAAAAATATAGGTTGCTCTCTCTACATTTAAATAATATTCTCATTTCTGGACATAGAAATTCCTGCAACTTCCATAAATTCCTTAATATTATAATAACCCTTTTCATACAAACTTAGTTTAATAAAGTTTTTGAACTTTGAGCAGGTTAAATTTTGTATATTTCAATGAAGCTATAAATGTAACTAAAACTAAAATAATCATTCATTCATACTCCCCGCGGTATATACGATGGCAGGAGACCCGACCTAACGAGACTCTTAGTCTCTTAGTCCTTTGGGATTGGGAGAGAGGCAAAGTACTAGCGTCGGATGCCACTTTGGCGGACTCTTGTCTCAGGCTTATCTCGCTTAGAGCCAGCGCGGCATCCGATGTTGCTGAACTGGCTAAATGGCGCTAATTTGAGTCTCTGAAATGACTATACTTATAATACCTAGGCTGCACTAAAAGTATCGGGAATGCAATATTTCCACTGTTCCTGTCATATTAAAATCTTTTTAATTGAAAACTCCTTGGTTTTATGAATACCATTTATTTATTTAAAAAAATATTCTCGGTCTTGTCACAAGGTTTTGTCAAACTTGTTTAGTCGTTGAGAAAATGGAATTGACTCGAGAAAATTCAAGAGCGATGATTTATTCTGACTTTCGAAGTGGTTTAACACAAAAACAGTGTGTTGATGGGATGATTTCTGCATTTGTTGATGAAGCCCCATTCAAAACCACAATTTATCGCTGGTTTGCTGAATTTCAACGTGGACGTGTCAAGCTTAGTGATGATCCCCGTCAAGGTCGTTCAAACACTGCAGTCACCCAAGAAAACGTTGATGCTGTGCGTAAGCTGATTGAGGAAGATCGACATGTGACATACCGCGAAATTCAGGCAACTTTAGATATTGGCATGAGTTAAATACAAATAATCTTGCATGAACAATTAGGTGTAAAAAAGTTGTTTTCCCGATGGATACCGCATTCGCACTGTGAAGAGCAAAAAGCGGCTCGCGTTACTTGGTGCGTCAGAACTCTCGAAAGATTCCACGCAGGATCCTCAAATGCTGTATACAACATCGTATCAGGTCACGAATCCTGGATATACGCGTACGAATCCGAAACAAAAAACCAGTCACGACTTTGGGTGTTCGAAAATTAGTTAAAGCCAACAAAAACTGTTCGTTCACGGAGTGTTGCAAAAATATGGTGGCCACATTTGTCTCCAAAACCGGCCATGTTACGACTATTCCTCTTGAGGGACAAAGAACGGTTAATGCATAATGGTATGCTAGCATTTGTTTGCCACAGGTCGTTTCTGAACTCCGGTAAGAGATCTGCAACCGCCGCATCATCCTCCGTCACGACAATGCGAGTTCTCACACCACACACAGACCAAAAGAG